TGCCAATGTGTTAATCCAAACTGGTTATCTTTGAGACAAGACAAATCTCAATCTGTGTTCCATTCATTGTATCACATCTTTAACTGCTTTAATCCCTACAGGTAAAACTAAAATTAAAGATCGTTGGGCATTGACTGATCAAGAATTAGAGTATTGGACTACACATTATAAGTGTTCTTCACAAGTTCCGCACATTCCAACTGGCGGACGTTTCATGAGTTTATCACAGAAATCTGAGCCTCTCGTATCTAAGGTAAGAATCAAAATTACTTTTATCAGTTGTAACACTTCATCCCATGCCATACTCAATGTTTTTAGCCATTGTGGCTAATACCAAATGTTTTTAGCCATTGTGGCTAATAACCAATGTTTTTAGCCATTGTGGCTATTACTCAATGTTTTTAGTCATGGTGGCTAATATGGTGGCTAATAATCAATGTTTTTAGTCATGGTGGCTAATATGGTGGTTAATACCCAATGTTTTTAGTCATGGTGGCTAATATGGTGGTTAATACCCAATGTTTTTAGCCATTGTGGCTATTACTCAATGTTTTTAGTCATGGTGGCTAATATGGTGGCTAATAATCAATGTTTTTAGTCATGGTGGCTAATATGGTGGTTAATACCCAATGTTTTTAGCCATTGTGGCTATTACTCAATGTTTTTAGTCATGGTGGCTAATATGGTGGCTAATACTAAATATTTTTAGCCATGGTGGCTAATATGGTGGTTAATACCCAATGTTTTTAGCCATTGTGGCTATTACTCAATATTTTTAGTCATGGTGGCTAATATGGTGGCTAATAATCAATATTTTTAGTCGTGGTGGCTAATATGGTGGTTAATACCCAATGTTTTTAGCCATTGTGGCTATTACTCAATGTGTTTAGTCATAGTGGCTAATATGGTGGCTATTACTCAATGTTTTTAGTCATGTTGGCTAATATGGTGGCTAATACTAAATATTTTTATCCATGGTGGCTAATATTCATATGTTTTTAGTCATGGTGGCTTTATTTTGCTAATTACCAAATTCCTTAGCAAACTAGACTAGTTCTAGGGAACCATTTTCGTGATCCTCACTATAAACAATTTGTATAAATATCTAAAAAAATATATATTTATTTATAATTCAAATTATAGACTTATTTATATCACATTTATTTGTATATTATTATATGTATATATGTTTATAGTGAAATAAACTTCATTCATTCATTCATTCATTCATTCATTCATTCAACATAAATGAAATAGCATTAGACTGTTCAGCAAATTAAAAATGTAATCAATTTTGTATGTATCTTGAGTGAAATGAAATCCCCAAATTCAAGTTAGGTCAGCTTTTTTACTGCTGTGACAAGATTATACAACATGTAGCTGTAGGAAGCTTCTGCAAGTACTAACCAAATTGTTGTGGCTCCTGATTTACACGTATTTACATGTATAGTGTCATATCAGCTTAGAGGTCTGGTGTTGCTATTTAAGTGGTAATTATTACTGTGCCATATTAAGTAATTTGTCGTTACCTTAGAAACTTGCTGCATAGATCATCAGAATTTCGGGGACCAGTGAATACATTCTACAAGCTAGAAATCAACCTCCCACTCTCACACGTAAACTAACTTAAATCAACCTCCCACTCTCACACGTAAACTAACTCAAGTCAACCTCCCACTCTCACACGTAAACTAACTCAAATCAACCTCCCACTCTCACACGTAAACTAACTCAAATCAACCTCCCACTCTCACACGTAAACTAACTCAAATCAACCTCCCACTCTCACACGTAAACTAACTCAAATCAACCTCCCACTCTCACACGTAAACTAACTCAAATCAACCTCACACTCTCACACGTAAACTAACTCAAATCAACCTCACACTCTCACATGTAAACTAACTCAAATCAACCTCCCACTCTCACACGTAAACTAACTCAAATCAACCTTGCACTCTCACACGTAAACTAACTCAAATCAACCTCCCACTCTCACACGTAAACTAACTCAAATCAACCTCCCACTCTCACACGTAAACTAACTCAAATCAACCTCCCACT